CTCCCAAAGCTTCTCATTCCCTGATAACCACACTCAGCCATCAGTGTTACTTTGAATACAAACTTTAGGCAAAAAAAATAAATAAATAAATTGTGTTTCTTGAGCTCTAGTAGTAATTGCATTTCAGGAGGGGAAAAAGAAGAAAAGGAGCAATCTGCTGCACTGTTGGCATCACAAAAAACAGGGCTGGCATGTCAGGAGAAGAAGGAAATAAGTGTCAGACATTATTTCATCCATAAACTATATTGTCCAAAAAGTGCACAAGATGTTACAGCTGTTTTACATTTAGAATACAAACTTTTTGATTAGCCTCCTAAATGGAGTTACAAGTCAGAGAAGGATGCTGTTGTAAAATATTTTGCTAGAGGTAATTAAATCATAAATCTAATTATTATATTAAATGCAAATGCTTAATACATTCCAGAAATTACATAACCCAGTGTAACTTCCTGATTCATCTCCAATTCACAGCTGGATTATATTATGTTGCTTATTTTCTAATGTGTTTAAAATGAGACATTATGTTTGTAAGACCTTCTTTTACACATTTAAATAATTCAGATGGAGTCTGGTAGAACTGCAATGCTTTAGTGTAAATATTATTATTGTAGCTCCACAGGCCTCTTTCACTCTTGTTCGGAGGTGCACATCAATTCTGTCTCTTTAAAAGCTTCACACCTCACCCCTTCCAGGTCGAGGAACGTTACAATCCCATTGATATATTATTGCCCGCTCCATCCTGCTTGGCCATTTTTGTAGTTTCAAAGCAGATATACACATTCTGTATTGGCGCAGAAACACTTTATTTACAAATTAATTTAAAAATGTCAACAATGGAAGACATGTTCATCCAGCCTTACATGTTGGAGCCAGAGTCTGACCTTGTTTAGCAGTTCTGGAGCAAATACTGTGACATTATTGTTTAAAGAAAAATATGTGTTAGAGACAACTGAATGGGTTTAAAAATATGACCCGATTAGAATATAAAGATATCTATGTAACATCAAAAAAAAAAAATCTGCATTTCTGGAGACTCCAAGTACACAACAAAATGTATTTAAAGGGGATTATTACCTATGTACTGCCCATGCATATGGTTCAATTTTAAACCGCAATCAAACTACGTTACCTTCAGTTGTTATGAAAATGTTGTACCAAAAATGAATTTGACTTTGCATCACAGTCAATCTAAACACCTTGAAACTGGCCTCTGCCTTTTTAAGAACATCTGCCATTTCCGACATTTCCACTTCAACACGTCTGCACAACAATGCTTTGGGAGACGAATGTTGTGTAGGGTGGGAGCTTGGCTGCAGACTGAACTCCAGGGAGGAGCTTTGTATAAACAGGTGGTGTTTTGTACCAGCAAGCAGCTCGACATACTGTCTCTACCACAATGATTTCTGAAACATGCATGAATGAGTCAAATCAACACTCTGGGTATATTTTTGATCAGTTAAGTTATGATATAAAGCTAAATAAGTGGATTTTGCATAATACTTCTCCTTTAATAGCTAAAACAGGGGATTTTGCATWTGTCCTCTTTAAGCGCCTAGATTTTCCACCTTCTTTGCAGAATCCTTCTGTTATCTGTGAGTCTTATACCTAATAGTAATGGAGTTTAGAGTGCACTTTTCTAGCATTTGAATAATTTGGCTCAACATATAAAAGAAGGCTGCTTTTGGCCAGCTTCCAAAAGTGAAATTAGAAAATTTTACCTTATAGAATTTATTATTATTATTATTATTATTATTTTTTTTTTTTTATTATTATTTTAGTTTTTGTTGAAAAAATTATTATGTCACTCTAAATGATCAACTCAGAGGTGGTGACTTTGTAATTTTAGATTTCTTACTACTCAGCACATGACAATAGTAGCCAAGCACTGTAATATCAGTCCAATCATAAATAAGTACATTTTTCATTACTGTTTTTAATAACAGCTAATTAAAAAAAAAACTAATTACACTTGACAGTTTTAAACAGCAGCTGTTGTTTTAATTGAAGCAAATAGTCTCTGTTACAATTAGAAAGTGTTATTTTATGATTCATTCGTCGCTTCTGTTTTTCTTGGACAGGAAGTGTGTGTTTAAAAACTAGTCAGCCCTCAAAGTGTCTGTGCAGTTTAACTTAAAGTGCCTTCTTATGGCTTCTGTAATGTGCTGCCACGGGGAACATAAACTCCTCAGGAGTGAAAATGGTTGAAAGCTCTTCCCAATGCTGCAGAAATGAACCATGGACCAGCTCAAGTGTAAAAATAGCCAAGAGTTACTGTGGTTACAGAAAGTCATGGTGAGAAGAAATAAATAAATAAATAAAACTTTCCTGTGAGAGAAATGAACACCCACAGAAAATCATTTAAACTACTTCAAAGTTCCCGACAGCTGAGTGAGCATGTGTGAATGATGAAGAATTAGCTGCACCTGAAAATGTATCTGGACATGCAAAGCGAGTGTGGAACTTATGGTCAGTTTCAATCAAAGTACTTTACATTTTACTTTGATAAAAAATRATGAAAAAAGAAACTGAAAGATGGAGATTTTTTTAAAGCTTAACGGTGCATCAGAAAAAAAAACATGATAAATAATAGTGTTGTGAAATGTGTCATGTTAAACATTTATCTTTTCCTAAATTGCACTTAGAAAATTTGTTAAATATCCATGACTTCATCTAATTATATAAACCTTTACATGGCTTGTAGCTGAGAATTCACACCTATAAATCTGTCAGCCATAGACGATACAGCCTACCTGTTTCTGTGGTGTTTGTTTTGGTTGTCTGATCATCTATGAGGTTGACATGGAGACATCATCACCTTCAAAAACCAACCCTTTGCTAACAAGCTGGCTGATGAAGGAACACAAGCCAATTAAAACAAACAAGCTGAGAAAGTGTTGCAAACACAACCTCCCCGGGTGTCAGCTTTCATAAAACTTGGGCAATAATGTGTCAGGCAGGTGCTGCTGCATGCTTTATATGAACGTAATTTGGCTTTAGCCAAAATTTTCCCCCATACTTTATGAAGCAGCTCCACAAAAAATAAAGTATTTTAAAGATAGAGAAATATTTACTTACATTTAAAAAAATATGTGCATTTTTCAGACTGTTATCAGCATATTACAGGGAAAAAAATGATGGGAAAAGGTGTGTCGGCAGAATAACAGGCTGTCAGCAAAAACGTCTTCTGGAAAAACGCCTTGAATTCTTGAAATAGCTACTTTCCTTTTTCACTTGAACAGCTATAATAATGGCACAATTACTTTTCACTCAGTGTCAATAGCAAAATCTATCTCAAAGACAGCCAAGACCTAAAACCCCTATAGTACTCCAAAATGGGTCAAGTGAATTGGACTCATGTTTCAGGCTGTAAGAACACATTCCTTGAGCTCTGAAAAGGTAGAGCATAAAAGAAAAAAAAAAGAAAATATTGGGTACTGAGGGAAAAGAAATTAAATTTTTGAAGACAAATGCAGTGGTAGAAAAGCAATTAGTCGCACATTCTTTCTTATGCTGTAAAGGAAATGGTGAGAAACCTGGAGATGCCTGATGCTTCTGTTTGTAAGGGGTTGAGGTAGATGACGCCATGTGAAGGGAAATGCATGAGAAATAGCCAGGAGAGAAAATCCGTCAGTGTAATGGCATTATCCAGGGAAGCAGAATCAGATTATTCCATGTTAGGCCGGAATACAACGCCATGTGAAATATGACATTTGTTAAAATCAAATCAAAGAGATGTAAGTGTTTGTTTTTATCCAATAACATGAAAAATGATGTCAATACGGCACGCTTTTATTCCTCCCTCATTTCCTTGTTGGTGTCACAGACAATGCAGAGTAAAAACAGAAAAGAAAAGACTTCTCCACCTGTTAAAACATTAAAAGCCTAAAGGGACATAATTATGAAAATTATTTGCAGCCATAAAATTCCCCAGACATGAGAAAGCAGCTGGGTGGGAGATGAACTTTAACAGTTCAAAACCCAGGCAGAACTGACACGGTGCAAGGATTTCTGCAACAGAGCTGGACACAAAGGTATCAAAGAAAGTTCAGACGATGGATCAGAACTAGCACATGTCTTTATCATCCTCACTCTTGCATTCTTTGTAGGCCACCACATTGGAAAAAGTTGTGTTGTACACAAACAGCCATATGGAAGACATTTAAGTTGCTAATGGGCAGAGAGAACAAGAAGAAAGTGGGAGAATGGCAGTAAACTACCACATCCTGACAAAAGCCCAGTTGGATAATGATTCTCTCTTAAAGTCAGCACGCCAACCCAATTCCTCCAATTTATTATAAGCAAGCCCAGTCCATTTGTGGTTGGCGGGGTGTGTAGCTTCAGGCGGGGTATACATCTGAGCGCACGCAGTGTGGTCTACTATTTCCCGGTCTCATACCAAAGATCCAGACAGAATGGGACACCGGTTTGGTTTTCTTCATAGCACATTCAGACAAAGGATTTTATACATGAAAAGTGGTGTGAATGAATCATTTTGCTCCTCTGTTTAGGGCTTATCTTATCTGTTACCAGTTTAGTCTTTAAATGAATGGAGTGAGATGAAAGTGAGATGAAGCAYGTGAAGGTGTTCCTGCATCTGTGTACACACATGGTTATGAATGCAGATGCGTTTTATCTGAGATTCAGCAGCACTACTGCAACAGCAAAACAATTTCAATGTCCCAGTTGAAAAATACACAAAGAAAAGCTCAAGCTAATTTCTGACACTGTGATGACCCCACTACAACATTTAAAGCTCACACATAACATGGAGGGTCCTAGAGGGGACTTGGCAAGGTCTAGTAGTGTACATCGAGAACATATTGAGATCCCTCTCACTTGAAATAAGGTAGTGTGCCTTAGGTAGTGAAGTAAGCATGGATATTCAATGTGGTGAATGTCTTGGATGGAGCATTAGGTCCATGATTAATGGCAGTATTTTATTAAAGTGGAAACCATGCATGGTCATCAAGAAT